AAGCGGTAGAGAGAGAATGGGGATCTGCCCGGCCAAATTCTGGAGGAAAGCCTACAATCAGTATATAATTAACACAGGGAACTATATTCAATATCTTGCAATAACCTTTTATGAAAATGAATATATGTATATGTTTGTGTGTGTGTGTGTATATATATATATATGCATATTGGGACACTGTGCTGTACACCAGAAATTGACACATTGTAACTGACCATACTCCTATTTAAAAAAGAAGAATATAATTAGAATAAATTAGAATAACCAAGACCCAAAGTTGTTTTTGCTGCAAGGATATTCTCATACATAGTCAAAAAAAATCTGATCTAAAAATACCTACTATATGCTATTATTTATTTTATCTCCTGTCTCTTTAAAAGTAATATTTCTGGGGAAAAAATATATGTTTTTAGTAGAAAATTCAGAAATGTTTATCTATAAGAAATTTAAAGTGGACTTTATACTATCCAAACATTTAAAAAAAACAAATTGGGCCTCCTCAGACATCTGCAAAGGCAACAGGAAGGAAGCTGTGTTAGTCAGGGTTCTCCAGAGAACCAACCACATGTTTACGTACCTATATATCCAGAGAGAGAGAGATTGGAAGGGGGGCTGGTTTAAGGAATTGGCTCAAGTGATTGTAGAGACGAGAAATCCAAAATCTGTCAGGTTGGCCAGCAAGCCAGAGACTCCGGAAGGACTGATGCTGCCGTTCAAGTCCGTATTAATCATATTTTTTATTTTTTAGATTTTCTGATGGTTTGACATGTTGAGGGGGCGTTGCTGGCCAGGGAGTGGCTGCTGCATTGCTACAAATAATAATCAAGCAGGATTTACCTTTCATACAGAAACCAACCATCTCAGATCCATACCCACAACTGCCTCCTCAATCTAACACTTATCTTCCAAGCCAATATTTCCCTGCCCTAAATCACTGCAGAAAACTAGAGACCACCCCTAGAGCCTAGAGCGCACTAACATTATTCGTACTAGCCAATCCTAAGCTGTTTTCTTGTCCATGGAAACCATGAGAAAGGCTCTGGGCCATGTTTCCCCTCACTCCAGTTTCTGTCTCCTGAGCACACTGGTGCTTCACCGTCTGGCCCTGCATGGGGTGGAGGGGAGTGTAATTAATGCAAGTCTTCTTTCAATGGCATTAGCCTGTCTGTGTCATCACCTCATCACCCCCATAAGTTAAAATCTTACAGGTAGACTTTAATTCAAAGTCCAAAGGCTGTTAGGCTGGAGACCTAGGAAGAGATAATGTTGCAGTTCAAGTTGGAGGGCTGTCTCTCAGCAAAATACCTTCTTACTCAGGGACAGTTCGTCTTTTGTTCTATTCAGGCCTTCAACTGATTGGATGAGGCCCACCCACATTATGGAAGGCAATCTGCTTTCTTCAAAGTCCACTGATTTAAATGTTAAGCTCATTTAAAAAAAAATACCCCTTCACAGAAACATCTAGAATAATTTTTGACTAGCTATCTTGTCACTGTCACCCAGGCAAGTTGATGTGTAAAATTAACCCTCTCAGGAATCTTAGAGGAAACACTCCCCACGTTATACTGGGGCTTCAGAGAGCCTAACAGGAGAAGACGTGCTGTAAACTCTCAAGCCCAAGGCTCTGGCAGCAAAATGAAAGGAGAAGGCAGAGGAAGGGGTGGATTTGCACTTGCAGACTTGCAGTCTGACCAGCCAGGGGTCACATCAGGCTGTGAACGGGGTCCATGACCCATGCAAATGCAGAGCTACCTAGAGGATGGCACCTTCATTCTTGGTATGAGGAAATCCCTATCATTCACTTTTTTCAAGAATAATACCCAGCATGTGGTGACACATAACCAACCACAAGGAAGCAAAACTCCCCAAATAGGAACCAGAATAGGAGAAAGCAGAAATGGACATAGACTTCAGACTGTATACATGCCAAAGATTTTTGAATACCTCTACTTAAGAACCTGC